TACGTTTATAGTAGGTAATTATAGTACGCATAACTTATAAAAATATTTTGTAAAATAATTCACAAAATTAATTAAATCATTTATAATAAACGCTGGAATATTTTTATGGAATCGATTCATCAATAATAAAAACCATCTTAACAATTATAATTAAATACTTAATCTGTTAAGTATTAAACATAAATATTTTCAATTATTTTACGTTTGTAGACACTAGGCTGTTTGATAAAAATAACAGATTATCTTAATCGCTAAGTAAAAGCCATACAACAAATGTATAGAAAACATAAAAATTCAAAATTTCAAACAATAGTCTATAATTATATTTTATTCTTTATTTGATCCAATGCAAACCAACAATATTAAAATACATAAAATATCGTTAATATTATTTGTCCTGGATCTTTGCCGGATCTTTACTTTTGCGCTGAATAATATTTAGACGTTTCATGTATTCAAATAAATTATTTTTATTATTCATTTTTTTACGAAATGTATGATAAAAATATCGTAGGTATAGTGCAAAATATAATTTATTTAATTATAATATTGTAAATTAATCAAAAATGTTAAAACAGTTTGTTGTGATGAATACAAAAAAAATGTAGGATTTCTTTGCACAACATATTTTATTGGTTTTTAATTTGGACAATTTTAGATTTTGTGCGATGATCACTTTTATAATTTTTTAGTAACAGTAGTATAAGTCGTAAATATGTCGCTTATTTTACTTATTTCATAAAATTTTCAATAAATTAATTTTTAACTTAAAGCAAGAACAAATAAATATACTTTTGTGCAATATGATATTTATTTTTTTTTTGGTTATGATATAATATCGATTAAATAGTTAAAATATGCCGCAAAGTACGCTTTAAACAATAAAACATACTTGGTTAACATGATTTTAATAATAATGTCTAAAGAACTTAATGGTATGAATTATGAATAGTCGATAACCGGTTGAATAGTAGATTTTTTTAAATGTTATAAGTTGTAAACGGCGACATCGTTAATACATGTATGTTAATGGAATGCTAATTGCAAGTTGTACTAAAATGTGAAAACAGAAAATTATTATACGAGGTAAAACGCATATCTTTAATATTACTGACTTGATAGGTAAACATGACGAATTTGTACATTTATATTTTTATTTCATTCATATTGACAAATGTACCATGCAATTACACCAAATAGAAAATTCCAATAGGTACTATACATTTATGATTATTATAGTGATTAGTGATTATTAATCACTTATTAGTAGACACTATAGACGGCCAGATAGATACTATACTAATTAATAGCTGTTAGTCAACTGTTATATGACTAGTTGCTATACTACGTTCAGTTGTGGTTTGAGTACAGTGAGTAGTTACAATTGGTGTTTATTAATATTGGATTGAACATAGTTAAAAATTACCGAATTCTGTATATTATGTATATTAGTTTTATACTCTGTTGCAGGCTTTGCACCACCTCACCAAATAATACCAGTGTCGTTTTCGGAGCCCAATGCAGAATTTTTCGGGACCCCATATGTATTAATTTATTAATTATTGATAAATATCTATATTTTTTTTTTCCAAAGTACTTACTTTATTTTTTTATAATTCTGTACCATCATCGATCGTCATCGACGATAAATAATTTTACAAATGTATTGCATGTAACTGTATATATATATATATATATATATATACAATTCGCATACTACTGGGACAAAATTATTATGTTTATTTATAAATAAAAGTGATATTTTTATTACATAATATTGTGTACATAGATCGTGAATTTTCTTTATTTTTAAAATAATAATAATAAAATAAGAACAATTAGTAAATACATCAATTTTTCATTGTTTAATAAGTAGATGTCAAGAAAAAAAAATTGTAAATAATTAGTTAAAACTATAGAACCTTATAATTAATCAAGAACTTAAACCTAATCTAATAATTTAAATATAAAAAAAACCCAACTTTTTCAATATTTTTTACTACTCATAAAATAATTATTTAAAAAAAGAAAAAAATTGCATCAGCAAGATTGTAAAAATTTCAAAGTTTAACTAGATGATCTGTTCAAGATATATTTTTGCAAATATATGAGTTTCAAAAATGTATTAGCAAGTCTATCATCAATAATCAATATTACCAATCTAAATTTCAATATGGCTTGGTATAAAATAAAAATATTTTACTTATAATCTGCATTGATACAAAATTACTTAACTTATCTTAATACTTTACTTAAATAAAACTCAAAGACTAACGGAGACACATTACCAAATAATTCACATGTATTAATGATATACTAATGTTGATTCCATTTCAAATATTTGTAAATAGTTAAATCCATATAATTTTAGGAGCTATGGATAAATTTTCACATTATCTTTCATTGTGAAAATTATAATTATTAATAAAAATATAAATAATTAAAATATAGAAAATCAATTAGCTTATAAATTAAATAGGTTTAATTTTAACTAGTAATTTTTGATAAAAATGTATTACAGCCTATTGTTTATAATTTATTAGTTAAATTTCATACTGTATCTATATATACTTTAGATTTTAGAAATTATACTTGAAAGCTGTTATATAATTATTATTTATTATGAGATATTTTTTGCTAATTTGTTTCAATTAAATTGGCATTTCAAATATTGCATATCTTTATTACATTGTCTATATAAATAGGTATTATACATGCCTATATATAAAAAAATTATTATTATTATTTATAATCATTCATTTTGACATCTTTGAATTAGTTGAATAAGTAATAACTTATTATTCTGATTGTAGTTTATACTTCTATGTTCTGTATGATAGCAAGGTAGTTTACAGTGTAAGATTGAAATCACGATCCGAATTTAATGATAAAATATTACAAAATATTTGTTAAAAATATTCATTTAGTAATTTATGACTTGTATTACAGAAGCGTTTCAAACTTTCAAACAGTATGATTATATATATATAAATAGATTATATCACCAAGTTTTAAATATACTAACTACTCTTATAATACCACGAAAATATTTTTTTATTAATAGTAAATTAGATTTAAACTGAAATTTTTTTTAAATTCTTGATCTTAAATCATAATTCTTTATGAATATATATGCTATATGCATAAACTATTATTTCATAATTATTTTAGAAAAAGTAAGATTGAATTAGATATTTTTTACTAAGAAAATCTTGAAAAAAAAAATGAAATTTTAAAGAATTGAAAAAAATATTTATTTTAGTATAATATTTAATAATACAATACATTATACAGTAAAACATGTTCTGTACGGAATTTCATGGGACCGAAAAAAATTTCTGTTTTAAGCAGGTTTCTATGTAACTGAATAAAAAGGAAATTTTCGTATTATAGAGTTACAATATTCTGCACGATTAAGATTTAAGGTTATAAAATTTTCCGGCCAATAATAAAAATTAGAATGTTGAAAATTAATAAAATATATTATAGGTTATCATAAGTTTTAATTTTTATTAAATGATTACATAATATACATTAATTAGATATTTCAAATTGATGATATATTTCAATTCCAAAATTTGAAGAATATAATATTTAGTAGGTATTAATCATATTATAATATAATAAAATAATGTAAGCAGATTAAAATACAATTAAAAATTTCAGAATTTGTATAAAGTTTTGTCCAGGTTTTTTCTTTAATAGTTAACAACTTTTTTTTATAACTTTCATTTTTTCATTTAAAGTTAAACAAATCTTTGAAGACATTGTGAGAATAAGTAAGACGAGACAAAAAACGGAAAACTACGACTATAATACGTGTGACAATAATGAGCAATGATGATATAGATTCAAGATAAAATGTAGTTATCTATCGACACGTATTAATATTGCTGGCCTTAATAATTGTTTGATAACAAAATAAATGTAGGTATCAAAAATATTTTTGTTCATTTTATGATATGTTTTTCTGTTTGTTAAAGATATATAAAATTTATGGAACCAAAAAAAAGCTTATCATTTATGTTAGACGGGCTCCGTTTTATCAAGGGTTTAATCCTATGTTAAATTATAGAAATATGTTAATGGATCATAAATCATAATAAATTTCCGCACAGAACAGGATTCCGTCTTAACAAGGGTCCGTATAAGATAAATTTTACTGTACTTATACAATTTATTTGAAACAATTCAAATCATAATATTACTAAATAATAAAAATATAACAATACTTTATACTATTAAGTATCAATAGTTATTTGTATTTTGTAATTATCATTAAACCTAGTAAATTACGTGTACATCAAGAAATATTTGTCTTGTTAAAAATTTCGATTATAATAATTTATAAACGCGTATTTTTACCACTTTAGTAATACTAAACTATTTAATAAATGTAAAATATAGCTAAATGTAAGAATTTTTTTTTTTTTAATTTAATTAGATTAAAAATGTCTATAATTGTATAGAAAGATGAAGTAGCTGGTAAATCACGATTAAGTTAAAAAACAATGTATGTTATTTTTGTAATTTAAGCTCAGAAGACTAACTTATTTGTAATTGATATTAAGAGTGGGTGCTTATGTTAATAATTTTATTATTGCAATTTATTAGTATAAGTTTTGAAATATATATTAGTACTTGCCACCTACTTATAACTATGCAAAACTCTGAAAATTCACAACCTTGGTGTTTTATACATATTATAGTTCAATTTTAATAAAAATAAACGATGTAGTTGATTTCTCAGCATATTATATACGTAAATATGTTCTGTAAAATTCTACGCGTACCATAATGTTTTTGTCGTTAGTTGAAAGTAGGAACTACAAATAATATATACATACATACATACATACATACATATATACATACATACATATATATATATATATATATATATATATTATATGCAGTATTGTCGTGTTGTATTCGAGCTCTCAGTTAATATGTTTCTTCAATCGTACGATAACGTTTAGTGAAGCGAATTTTCTGTCGGCAATAATATACGTAGGTAGTCTGCAGTAGTTTATATCGGTTACTACTATAGCTAAGTTTTTAATTCCCAAGTATTTGTACGTACTCGTGTATTGCTGCAGCGCGTACACGATGTCACGTTCTGCCGCAATATTTATTGGTACCTCATAGTGGACTCGATCGAACACAATGTAATGTGTATACACATTATGTGCGCTTATTTATTTGGTTCGATTTTGCTCGTCGGCTGTATTATAATGTGCTGTACGACATGCTACTAAACTGAAACGATCTTTTCTCGGTTTGATTTGGTTTGGTGCGTGCGGGAAGAGCGGATATAAATTAATCACTACTAACGGCTGCAGTGTTTATGGTCGGACATGTTCGTATAATATAATACATAACAATATATGTAAGTATATGACGCGCGTACAGCGTAGGCGAACGTAACCGGATTGATTTACTTTTGCTTTTTATAGAAGCTTACATTTTTTTTTTATGTATCGTTAGAGGATACCTAATACTCGCATGCATAGTCTTTATTATTATTTTTTTTTTTTTATCAAATAATAAAATTCGGGCTAGGCCGGTTTTTTTTGTTTTCAAACCGACCGGTACATATATTGTCAGAACAAATATTATTATTATTATTATTATTTTTTTTTTTAATGATATATTGTGTATAATATCGTATGTTAATAAGTACACGCGTGTGTTTCTATTAAGCTGAACCGTGCACGCCATATCCGACGATTAAACATTTTTAACTGCAGTTTGCACGATGGTCGGAGTTGATGACGTATGTTTATTATAAATTATAATATATATCATATACGTTATATTTAAATACTAAAAAACATAGTAATATCGTATGTATATAATATATTATAGGGCTGGATAGATAATCTTCACGAACTGACCTTCGAGTGGACCAAATCGTTTTTTCCAGCATTCAGCGGACACGCTGGAATATAATATATATACCTATAGATTATGGGAACTGAAATATGCTCAGATTTCGTCTATGCAATGTTTAGTAAGTAATTATATGCTGTGTAGTGTTTAGTATGCTTTTTAATGCTGTCGTGCATCGCACATTGGTCTATTTGTACTGATTCTAAAATAATGGTGGTTAAAAAACTACTGTATCACGAAAAAGAGGAATTGTGTATAGGTTATTTTTTATAATAAAATATTGTGACTGGTCAAATTATAATGATTATTGTGGTTTTATTTCAGAACAATAATTTCATAAAAAAAAGTGTTAAAACAAAAAATAATACACATCTGGTAACATATATACGTTATATATTACACTTATTGAAATATACTTTATTTTAGAATTGACTAAAGTCCCTCAAAAATATTAAGGTTGAACTCCTACAATTATGTATGGTAAATTGTTTGTCAATGCTTTACTTTCTCATCCTTAATTACTTCATAATTTAATCATTCTATCGCTATATATATATATGTAATATGACTTTATTAATCATGATAAATTCAAAGTAGATATTTGAACGCTAAAATTTTATGAAACATTATACACGGATGAATACTGAATATGCCACTGATGTTATCATCATAGCATTATTTTAGTATTCGTAGTTTCGGTGTTTTATTGTTATTTAGTGTTATGTGAAACATGTTTATAGTTACGAGTTTATTCGTGTTAACATTATTATTCTTTTTTACATAACTACATATATAATTAAGTGTATTTTTGTATAATGCACAAGTTCGAGTGTATGGCACGACGAGTTGAGTTCATATTTAAAAATAAATTATAATCGTTAAAATATTTTATCGATGTGCACATGTGGTTAACTATACGTATGTTTGTTTTTATTATGATAAGCTTAAATAAAATATATCACAACTATTCAACTAAGTGATAACATTATTTAAATTAGTTAAATAACGGCAATATAGATTTACATAAATTTAAAATATTTATTCAAACGGCATTTATTCGATAAATATGTATGATGATCTATATAATATAATGCAGAATATATTATTCAAGTTGGATAATAATGATAGGATAAAATACCGACATTAAACGTACATGTTATCATGCGTAATACTTAATAGTAATAAACTAATAAAACTTACAGAATTAAAGAATATTGTAATAGCGTTAATACAAATGTCATTTATCATTATTATGTTTACTTAGATATAATATACAAGAACACTTTTAGTAACCTAACGCAGCTGTTTCAAAAAAAAAAAAATTTAATTTATTTTAAGTTACATATTATGCTAACGATTAATCCATGAATAAATAACCTTATTTATGCTTTACGAATAATTATAATATTATTAAATACGTATAACTATACTACGATCCACGGTTAGATAACCTGGTTAATTAAACATGTTATTTTAAACATGGTTATTCATTTTTTAATTTGAGTTTAAAAAAATTATAAAAGCTCAAATATGATTTATGTTTTAGGTTTGTCTTTTTAAAGTTTAAAGTTCATACGAATGTTATTGTAACAACGTAACTATTTTGAAATTGCACGAAAAAACATCGGGGTAGTATAAATACACTGTTAGTGTATAGTGTTCTAAAGTTGGTAGTTTCTTTCTTATACAATCAAATTGATTAAATATATAAATACATTACATATGTTAAACATACAAAAAATATATAGTTAACAATATTAAACCAACAACGTCCAGTAACTATCAAGCAGCGAATACTCGTACTGCGAATATTAATATAATTTTATTTATAATAATAACATGAAACTAACAGATACCTTGTAACCGTTGTTATCATCACATTCTATTTCAGAATTTATGTTGAAATATTCCTCGTTTATACTACCGTTGGTGATAACTATTAAGTTAAAAGAGTTAGATTTAAATTAATTCACAATTATTATTGATTGTAGCTGTTTAAAAAATTTAACGTTTAACGCGTTTACATAATTTAATAAACTCGTATATTATATATTTATATGCTATTTGTATTTGCATATAATTATTAAACTAGGTACATATACTTGTTTATCTAGACATTTATCTTCATATGATAATATATTATATTAACACAGTTATTTTAAATTATAGGCCACGATTATGAAATGCTGTATTGGTTATTACTTATTACAGCTATTTTTCAGTATTATAGCCTATTGGAAAAAATATAGCTGGCGTAATAAATTAATGTAATATTATGCATTTTCAATTCATTTTAATTTTGTTGCTCCGTTTAATGTTTTATCACATATTTTAATATTCAAAGTATATAATATATCATAGGCGTTTAGTCAAATTAAGGATTACACTAAATTCTAAAGCAAATAATCAGAGAATTTCATTTTTATGCAATCTTACTAAATTCGCCTAGACATTTAGTTAAATGTCTATTTCAAATCAGTTAAATAATAAAAATGAAATATTTTGTATTATTTTAAAAATGTAACTATATTTTTTTATTAGTTATTTATTGCTATACTGAATTATATTTAAATATATAAATAAATATAGGCACTTAATTATTAATTATGTGTGATGATACAAATATAAAAAGATTGTATCATAATTTATAATCAAATATTTTAGTTAATTTGTATTTAATTCAATCACATGTTTTGTATCTTTTTCCTCCCTAACTTCATAATTTTTTAGTTAAAATTAAAAGATTTTAATTTTTCGTATGGTGCAATAACATACCTACCTACTTTAATTTTTTAAATTATAAACTAATTGAACTTTTATTTCTATTTAATAAGAATATTTAGTATTCTTATTATTACACCTAATTATTAATTATCTATATTTATTTATATTTTTAAAATTTTAAATAATAGTACTGAAAAATATAAAATTAAATATAATATACCTACATATTTTATACACAAATAAATAATACATAGTTTTTTTTTTTTTTGTAAAGAATAGCAATAAATAATAAATAAAAAAATATAGTTCAATTTTTAAAATAATTCAAAATATTCATTTTTATTATTTACTTGACCTAAAGTAGATATTTAGTTAATTAAATGACTAGGTGACCAGTAAAATTGAATAAAAATTAAATTTTCTGACTATATTTTGCCTATGCATTTAGTAAAATACCTAATTTGGCTATACGCTTATAAAATATTAATGATGTATAACGTTTAATATTAATTTTTTATTATTTACATTTTATATTTAAGTTATACAGAATACATTTGTATCTTCTGATTGTCAGCATAAATTAAATATGATTAAGAATATTTTAATTTTTAAACATTTACAATTTTAGTGTTTTATGGTTGTTATATTCAATACTCGTTTTATATATACAGCGATGTTAAAAAGTTTCTTTTTTGTTGCAAATTTATTATTTTGTATTATTTCTTACTGTATTACGACGAAGTACATAGTATCTAGTGCCTATCTATTATTTAAGCGTTAGATAATACGATTTTTTCAGTTTTAAAATAATTTTACTATACTTAGATAAATTATATATGTATTCAATATTATAGGCACAATACAATTATATATCATAAACTTAACTTATAATATAAATATTATGATTTATATTATTTTGAATTTGAATTTTAATTTATAGCTTTGGTTTAGCGTTACTATATTAATTTTCCTATGTCTATATTAATTTTTTTAATTTGTGTTCATAATTTCGAAACTCCTTTGGTCATGATTAGTTTACAAGTAGGTGTGTTACGCATCGTTTATATTACAAATTAAAATGTATCCTTGTATGTTGTACCTTTATTAAAATTCGTATTTAGAACATCACGACCATGAGAACGATTTTGATTTAGATGTAATTATGTAGGTAGTAGTTCCAATTTTAACTGGTATAGGCATAAGTCTTAAACGTGAAACGAAAAATTCGATTTAAGTGATATGATATTATACTGTATAGGTTAAATATTAAAGAGATTTTAAGAACAACGAAAACAGTTATGATTCGGATATATTTTGAACACTTACTCATAAAATAAATTAAAGATGCCACTCAAAATATGTTAATAATTTATAAATGTCAAAACAATAATGGATTTTGTGCGTTTCGCGATTGGAATACGAATATTAGATGTAGGTACCTATAGTAGCGTTATTATTGCTCATACGCAGAAAAAGACTAATTCTAGTTTTTTTCGCATAATACGAGTATGGAGTATATTTTATTTTCGATTTGCATAATTCTTATGAGAAACTCGCGGGTAATGGATATTCGGTGTAGCAGAATTCAATAACCCGACGGTCGATGTTCTAATTGTACATCGGGTGCATAGTAATATTGCACTGCGAGATTGCAGTTGCTATTTATATGACGGGCGACTGGACGTATCTCGACTCGTTCTGAAACTTCAACCATTGACGTCTAGTTTTTAAGTACCTATTTATAGACAGTATTATAGACTATAGTGAATGCTATAATATTCACGTAGGTGATATACAGTACACAATATGAAATGCTAGTTTGCGTACACAGAATATAGGTAGGTAAGTCATGTATTACGTGATAAAAAATGGATGGTAATTAGTCGCACTTATTCAAAGTCTAAATTAATAATAATTGACGTGGTAATACATGTAAACATCATCTGTCGTGCACCCGTGTAACCCAAGTTATTCTCCCCCGCCGTCTGTTGCGTCATAAGGTGGCGGCGGTATTCTTCGATAATAATATAATAATAATGTTATGAACGCGCGTAGGCTGTCCAAACACTACTTGAAAGTACCTACACGAATGATAGACACGGACGTAGTTTGTATATTACATATTATAGTTTTTCTCGATCTGATTATGAGATTTGATTATTATTATTATTTTACAGAAGACCTCAAGGACAACAACAACGTTGGTTTTAATTTTTACCTACAAATATATTTATGTATTATACACGCTCATAGGTATAGGTGCATAACGTCATAAAATTACCAATATACCATTATTACGCGTCGGATATGCGTAGTCCTAAATTAGGGGGTTTATCGAGTTAACATGTCAAAGGGGCAAACAATTGTTGCGCATAAGTAATTTGGGGTTTTTAATATTCATAATATTATTATATAATCTAAGCTTAACTGGAAACTATTTTTGTTAGAAAATATTATTTATGATGGAAATCGTTGAACCCAAGGTAGTTTTGAGTCTTAACTATGTTTTATCTTGTAATCTTAAATTTTGAGTAGCTTACAAATTTTAATTTAAAATATTTCGGGGAAAAAATAACATATTTCGTTTAGAATTTAAATGTTATTGCTAAATATATATTTTGTACTATAGAAAATTGAATTTATTACAAACGCATTTTGTCATTGGTCAGTCAGAAAATTAGTTATTTCTCATGAAGAATTTATTTTTTTTGGAAATAATATATCTATCTAATGTATTACCTAACACCAAATCTATTAAAATAAGTATAATGATGGAATTAAGTTATTTGTTGTGAATTGACAGTCACGAATTAAACTTGTACATTTAAAATTAAATCAATATTTTTTCTAAAATAAATTTTAATGATTAATAAATACAGAATTTTTGTAATATACATTGAGTTTTAGTACGAAACAAGTTTAAAATAATAGTTTTATATAAATCAAATGATTTAGTTTATTTTTTGTTACTTACGATAATTATTGCAGAGCGCAGACTGCAAGATAACTGTTTAAATAACTACGATCTTATAGTATTCACTTAAAGACTATAGGGTATAACGTAAATTGTTATAATTTATTCTAAACAGTTATATCATTTAAATATATATATAACTATATATGATATACTATATAGTACATTATTACGTAGTTATAATGCATATTTGTTCAGTTATTGACACTGGCTTAAGTATTACTCGTGTCTCTTGTCATGTATCTATTGTTAAACTTCATAATATCAATAGTTAGTAATGAATATAGTACTTTAATAAATACATTATGTAGTGGTTTTGAAGAGGTTCGATCACTATCAAATGTAGTGGTATGAAACTAAAGTTTTATAACTATTTTATTGCAATGAAAAAAAAAAAAATGAAATTTTTAAGAACCTATGTCAAAAGAATTGTTTTAATTTATATTTACTCTAATCGATTTTTAATTAAAAAATGGATAATCTTAAATCAAATATTAGACATTATAGGTAACGTAAATATTAATAATTAATAAATAATTATACTTTTTATAGAACAATTTTTAGTATTATTAATTTTATTGCATTGAATGATATTATATAATAAAACAGATAAATTGTAATATAAAATATAATTTATTTTTTCATTTAAACAAAATAATTATTAAATATTTTAATTTAGAATTGATATACATGACAAAAGATGTTTAATGTATAGTACTATTTATTATTTAATCATCTTAACTCTCTCTCAACTTGATAGCAACTCAAACTGACCAATTATGTTCGCGAGTTATACGGATAAATATAATGATATAAAGAGCCAAAATATATTAAATATATTATAAATGTATAGAAAAAGAATTTAAATTCATGATAATAATAATAATAAAATTTTAATTTTATTAATAAGATGTGAGCCATGACGAGAGCCGCAATTTGGCCGCCCCCGGTATTTAGGAACTAACGCACCTATTGGGTTTTTCATGTTAGAGCTTGTATATTATTATATGTAACCGTTTACCTGCTGTTTTGTGTGGGAGCTTACCAAATCTTAAGCGTCTGCCCTACCAAAAATACGCCTCTGTGTGGTTTTTTTTTCAAATCAAACAAGACTATTTTATAATTCAGTAAAAATATATTTATATGTATTTAATTAATATTTTAAAAGTTTATCTAATATGATTTAGATTTTATAACGTTTGTTGAGAAAAACATTATAAAACATTGTATAATTGGTAGTTATTAAAAAATACAAAGATTAATGAGTATTCTACATTTAAAATTAATTATCGTAGTTGAGTTTGAGCATAGATACTAGTTTCGATAGTAAATTCTCATCATCTTTATTATTTATAATCAATAACTAATAATTATGTTTAGCTAAATGTATAGTTCAAAAATCGTTATCCTTATTATAGCTCCTGACTATTAAAATATTTTACAAACAATTGTTTTTTAATGTGCAAATAAAAAAAAAAAATGAGCTTTAATTGAATAATATAAGTCATAAGATAATGAGAGTATGCGACTAAAATCATTTTGAGATTTATCAATTTTAATGCAATGAATATAATAATAAAACAGATGTGTAATAAGTCTATTCGTTTTGCATCGTCATTATATTAAGCAAATCAGGTCGTCACGTTATTTTAAATGCGCGGTACTTCTTCTAAGAATATAAACGATGATGATGATGATGATAGGAGTGAGTTTTAACGTAACGTATGTGCTTGTGGTAATAAAAAAGAAAAAATATGTTTTAATAAGTGGATATTACGATACGATTTCTATAATTGTAGATCGACGCTTGAGGCGATTAATTTTGAACGTTAAATTTTGTAAATAAACGATTTAATATTACACAAGATTAGGTAAAAAATAATATAATTATTACGTTGGATTTCTAAAACCGTTGAAAAATATAATGTTATTGTTATCAGATGGTAAGTATCAAAAATTGAGAGCTATGCACTATTGTACATTATTTATGAAATATACAAAGTAAAAGTAATTGATTTAATGTCAAGACAAAATATTGTAGATATCTCTTAAATTTTAATTAAAAAACTGGCACGTTTCGTGTAAAACAATAATTTACTGCAATGTATTAGTACCTGCATTATTTTACGCGTTCCTATATATCAAAAAAAAAAAACACTCAAAACGGACGTGGTACATACTGTGGATCATCGACGATTACCAGTTTTTCTTATAATAACCGCCTCAGGATTAAGATATATGATTTCGGCGTCTTGTGGGCAACAAGAATCGAATGTCGTTAACCTCTGGGTTGGATGCGGCTGCATAGTTATTGCATAATACCCACATGTTTCTATATTATATTTCCTACTTCTACCGGCTAAAATAATGCATCGCGATAGGCCTAAGTATTTATCGAAGGAAGTGGTTCTACCCTACCTACTCCAGGTACTCGGATATAACATGAACTTGTAACCTAACCTTGGCCATGAGTTTACATAAATAGGCTCGAGCAGAAGAAAGTAAAAACAATAATCTTTCTCTCACAGTTCTAAAGTGGTTCTAAAATATAATATGAAAACTATGGAGCTTCTGGTCAGTAATATTTTTCAACTTTAATAATTTTATGTTTATTAATATTATCTTTATGAGTAAAATGTGTTTTTGATTTTCGTTTGGACATTTTACGTTAAAATTACTAATAATTTAAATTTTAAACAATGATAAAAGTTTCATTAATTTATATTAGGTCTTTTTCATCATTTAATACTACAATATTCTTAATTTTTAAATTTATTTTGAACTCATAATTAATTTGAAGTTTCAACGTTAGTTATAATAATTGTACCATTTTTTATAAGATAATCAACATCTGATAATAATGTTTATAAAATTAAGTCATATGGGTGTAACTTATAAATAATAATAGTTTATAATCGTATTATATGTATATTTTAAATTATATTCATTGTATAACATTCATTTTAGAGTTTAATTTACTTTCAGAAATATACCTTGATGAGTTTGTTCGTGACGTGTTTGTCAGTGGCGGCTGATCCATTAAAACAAAAACCACAGGCATTGAATTCTATACCTGCTAAAAATTTTCAACAGCAAGTAGCTAATGAATTAAAGCCAGATTTTGTACCAATATACCTATATTCTAGAGAAAATTCAGTGGACGGTGATTATAACTTCAAGTGAGATTTCAATATTAATTATATGGTTTTATACATACCACAGTTAATAAATTAAAAATATGCAATTTTTCTTGGCCCTGTACTAATTATTTTATACCATTCATTTGATTTATTGCTTGTTGAACGTTATAAAAATATAAGTTTACATGGGTTATAATGATGTTATAGAGACAGTAAAAATATTTGCATTATTTTTCTCTATTTTATACATGTTATTAATTTAGTTATAAAAACAATTTTTGCTTTTCTTTATTGTACATTTTTTTTTATTAAACTTACAGATTATAATTTAAAGTATTGAAAATATAAAATATGTTAGCAAAAATATAAAAAGAATTATAAAGTCATAAAATATGATATTACTTAACATTGTTTATTGATTATTTTTCTATAAATAGTAAAAAAATCTTAAAATCACAAAAAAATATACAAATATTTAAGCCTTGCAAAAGTATCTATTTAAATCTTAGAATTTTTAAAACCATTTTATATCTCTAGAGAATTACGATAGCGTGGAAAATAAGTTATAATTACGTGTTATACAATTTATATGTTACAATTGATCAGATGAAATAAAAATTAAAACATGAGTATTGAAAAATCGTATAACTAAATATGAACGAGGAATTGTTTTTTTATCTTGGGATTTTATGGTTACGATTTAAGATAAATCAAATTAGCTAATATTAGTTATTTTTCATGATATTATGATAAAATGGAAAATAATAACTTTAAAATGTATTTTAAAATATATTTTTCGTAATAACAGTTTCGTAACTTTGAAAACCCATTACTACTATATTAGTATTTCTACATAATAAATTTTGTATTTCGTTTTAGTTATATTTGTATAAGTTTAAATTGTTTAAATTTTGAATCGATTAATTTTTATTAAGTAGTAATATTAATTAAGTTCTATGTATTTGAGTTGATAACTTGGAAATACCTTATAAGTAATGGAATTTAGACTTAGCATTAATAATCAGTTAAGTATAAGTATATACTATATAGAATATTATATAAATAAAAAAAAATAGTGAATAGATTGAACAGCATGTTTAAAAAGTTATAACCATTTTTAATTTTGCTAATTTGATTGATGTGAATTATATCTATCGATATAGTACTCTAAAATATAAGGTTAGTATGTCAAAAGTATGTAATGAAAAACAAGTTATCTAATAAATAATGAAATGATGATAAATTTATTGTACAAAGGTTATAAAAAACAGATTCCAAGTATAACATTATTGTACCCATATATTATAAAAATAAGTTATTGATTGTTTGAATCCGTGTGATTTGTTCATTTAATAAATAAAATTCATATCTTCATTAAATTTTAATTCATCAATATTGATTTTTTACAGTCAACTCTTTATTTAATATGGTTTTAGAAATTTAAGGTAATATTTATTCAAACAATTTATTTTTTTGGATAAAATTGATAAAAATCGAATCTTTCGTCTTTTTCTTTAAATCCTATGGTAAAATCAGAATTTATATTTCTTGTTATTTTAATTATAAAACTACTAACAATATTGTTTGTATGCGTGTATGTATATTCTAACTCCAATAAATATAAAAATATAAATAGCTACAGTAAAACGTATACAGTTAACCGAAAAAGTAAACAACTTCTTATGATATATAAAGAGAATGATTAGATAAATAGTAACAATGATGAATAATTATGTAATGATTATTTACATTGTTCAATGGTTATTGAGGTTATTCACTAAAACACAATAGATGTTTCATTATACATTTGTATCGTGTTTTTTTTTTTATCATTATTTTTGCCCACAAGATGTTTATAAAAATAAAACATATAAATTATGTACCTAAAAATTATACACAATTTATATATTTTTGCTTCAATAGATTTATTTTTAAATTTAAGCCAAGATTTTCATTTTGACGTTTTTAACATGCATTTTGAACCACTTTGCGTTGTTTATTTAAGTTTAAAATATCACTACCTATATTGATTACTGCATCTGAATATTATTTTAAATTTAGTTAAACTAATTAAACATGTTAGTTAGTCAATTATAAACATGATTAAAGTGTATCTACCAGTAAATATGAAAAAATATTATGTACTTACTAGTTACCTTGGCAATATTTCTGAGACTTGGCCTATAATGTTAGTCGTTTATGACAAGTGTCCAAGAAAATTAATGAGACATATTAAAAACGAGTTTTTATTGAATACTAGGTAGGTACTGCAGTTATATTTAATTCCCATCATTTGTAGCAGGAATCAGGAGATACTCTATCTCAACCTAAAAGTATTCATTTTTTTTTTTTATTTATCGCATGTAAATACATCTTAACACGGTTGTCTGTATTTGTATCCACGAGATTGCAAAATATCTGTAATCACAAGTACATATAATTGTATACGTGTTGATCATTTTATTCTTGCGTGAATGTCGTGTAAAAGATGCATATTATTCGCACAGCATTTAATCGTATTTTAATCTGGTTAATTCGAGTTCGTTTATACATACATGCGTAGTTTATATATATATATTTTTTTTCTATATGCAGATATGAAACCGGAAATGGAATTTTTGCGGAAGAACGTGGTGTTATGTTGAACAAAGGAACGGAAAACGAAGCAAATTCGGTGGTTGGCTCGTACAAGTACGTCTCGCCCGAAGGCGTACCAATAGAAGTTACGTACACGGCAGGAGTGGACGGGTTCCGAGCGTACGGTGCACATCTGCCTGTAAGCCCACCAGCAGCGTCAAACCTGCCCAAAAGTTTTGCATTCAAGAACGTCGCCCAGACGGCTCCCTTTGCCCGACCACAGTTCAAGACAGACAGTTCCGATTCGTCGAGTTACGGTAGACAAGTGTTTTTGGATGATCAGCGTAAAACGCCGTTGGAGCCGGTCCAAGTGCATCTGGATCAGCCACAAGTGCCACCAACGGTCGAACAGGTTGGCGCGGGCCAAACAGCCAATGACGTGGCGGAACAGTCGCAGAACGTGTTGTTCGTGGGTAGAGATCCGACGGAAAAACCAGTGGAGACGATCGTCCGCGCAACAGTAGCGACGGCCGACCAATCGCAGAGTCCGTTGGCCGGTAATGTCCAAGACTATTACCAACAGCCCCGCGGTCAACCCGTTCCGGAACTGCAGTCGCGGCCTGCACCGCAGCCGTCCGTCGTACAGAGGTTCGAACCACCCAGATTGGTTGCGCCGTCCGTCGTGCCCGTCTTGCAGACGGTGCCCCAGACCGTACAGACTCAGCCAAGAGTCGTGCCGGTGTTGCAAAGGCTGGTGCCCGGAGGATATCAGCAACAGCAGCAGCAGCAGCAGCAGCAGTTGCAGTTAAATCAGTTTAACGCAAGACCGATGGTACAGCAACCGCCTTTCAATCAGCAGCAACCGCCTTTCAACCAGCAGCAACGTCCCGGACCTTTACGTCAGTTCAGCATAGAGCCCCAGCAGATGTGGTACATGCCAAACAACCCACAAGGACGGTACTTTCAAATGCCCCCTATGCAGCGAACACTGGGACCGCCTAAGTACTAGTCGTCGTTAGCAAGTTCACCGGCACCTGGTCGAACTTCACTTATTTTAAGATCTTTTTGCATTTTTTTGCGCATCAACTTTCCGCGGACGATCTACTAATACAATAATATATAATTATTCTATAATATAATATATACGTAAATTTAATATCGATGAGTTGTGCAGTATTGTGTGCATAATGATTTAGACGATGAATGTTGTATCATGTATTTATTCGTGTGAAAATAGAAATTTAACATAAATCAATAAATTCGATCACTTCACGCGTGATCAATGGGTACTTGAATACTTACATCCAACTCTTTTCTATATACTTACCTGCTACGCAACGTGTTGATGACGAGTACATAATAATAGAGATCTGACTGAAAAAAATGTTAAGACTCAATGGAGTGGGCATCACGCCTTTCTAAGATGTAGGTACCTATCTAAGGCGTGCCCGTTAATTGTATAATATTATTTTATTATTATATCCATTTTGTTAATTATTTATTAACACGAGTTACATATTATAGCCATAGCAGGTGAACCGTACCTATATCGGGCTATATAATGTATACAATACCTGAACATGACCTTTCTTTTAACCTTCTTAATCATGAAAATTAATGTTAAATATCAAAACATTTTTTTTATGATTTAAATTCATTAAAAGCTCACTTTTTTAAAAATAGGTAAATTACATTTTTAATGCTATCATTTATTTAATTAGTAATCATTTTTTGACCAAGAATCTCAAAAAAGTTGGTCTACTACTCTTCTAATTTAAACTGTATACGGTCATAAAAAAAATCGACCATATACGCTTTACGCACAGGCAATTAATCAAGTATGTTTACCCCTATTTGACCTTTAATAATAAAATTATTCAACTTTTGATTTTTAGAATATTTAAGTATATTTTTAATCATTATTTATTTATATTTTAATACCATTTAAGTAATTTCTTGTGGTGATTCAAAGTTTTAAATTTAATTTTTTTAAAAGAGAACCGACCTTTTAATTGAAAATTGTTAAACTGATGATATTTTTAAAAAAGGTTCTTGTATTTGAATTAAAATTGGAATGAGTTCAAGATATTGATATTGTATGTAAAGACATTTCTACATTAAATTTTAGTATATATCCATATTAGCATAATATAAATTATATCCTAAGGATAATGGTCCTTAAAAATTATTAAAAAAAAAAAAAATAGATATAATATTGGATTTATTAATTATATTATTTTTACTTACTTATAGCTATTACAAGTTATAAAACGTAAATAGATTAATATTAATTACTAAAATTAACAAATTATAGTTCCAATATCTTCTAAACATACATTTATAGTACTATTATTCTTATAATACAAAGTTAAGTAACTCAGAAATTATATGTTCGAATTTCGATTTAGATAATATATCATTAAAAAAAAAAAAACTTGTATGATTAACAATTTACAAAAATAAAAAAATTAATTATCATTTTAAAAAGAAAAAGAAATAAAGAAATTGGTATTGCTTTAGATACTCTTTAAAAGGTCAAAAAATATAATTCTATAGTAATTGATTGATGAGCTATAATAATATGCAGCAAATAATAAAAAAAAAAAAAGTCGGCAAGTGGGTAACGCTTTATTTTATCGCTGTAGAGTAGGTGTTGAGTGGGTTACTGTAATGGATGTGATGAATTTGAATTTAATGATATATCATTGTTAAGAAAAAACGATTCTGTATGGAAGCCGTCAATCAATCTATATCCCTAAGTATAAAAATCAATACCATCTTACCATAAAACAGTGAGAATAGGTTCATCGTCCATGGAATAAATAGGCAATATCTTAAAATGAATCTACATATTTTAAAAACGTTATTATGTAAAGTAAAATTAATGCACTATATACGGTTTTTTAAGTCTTTCATGAATAAAGTGTTTGAAGTAAAAAAAAAAAATATATCTTTATTTATAGCTTAAAGATATAATTTTATCAAAATTTGAAATTAAAATGCTTATATAAATAGATTATGATTATTTATTTCAAATATTTTTACGTAGAATTTTCAGTTTCTTAACCTAACGAAATAATTTATACCAATTTTTTTAGAAATAAAACTAAAAAAAAAAATAAAATTTTTAGTATTAAAATATCTTCAGGCAACTCAAAAATAGTTAAATTATTTTGAAATTGTTATATGTATAAAAAATGATCGTACAAACATTTGTTAAAAATTATATGTAGGTATCTATACAGTTATTTGTTTATGAATTACAAAAAAATTTAAAAACCGTTAAAGAAGAAATTTAGTTATTTTATAGGTGAATAAAACTCATATGAAAAACTATGTGGGCTTATAAATATTTTATTATAAGTAGAAAAACTTATAGAAATATTTTATTAAATTTTTAAATCTAAGATATAGAAAATATATTTTTTTTTATGAATTTCTAACTACAAATTAATTTGAAAATTTTCGTGTTTTTATAGATTTCATCAGAATTCTAAATTTAAATGCTTATAAAAAATATTCCATTAATTTATTTTTGATATTTTTTATTGGTAAATAAAACATTTATGAAAAACCCTGTATTAAATTTTCAAGTATTTGTAAAACGTACACACGTCGTAGTAAAATCGCTCTGCTAAAAATTTAAAATAATGGTCTTGTAATAGGTATATTAAAAATTGTAAAAATATAACTTTGTATGATTATCATAGAAAGAATTGGAAATGAGCATCCTTGGTGATTCATCTTGAAGATAGAAATTATCAGAAAAATATTCTACTTAGTTTTATGATACTAATAAAATAAGCTGATAATCAAAAAAAGTAAGAACGATAAGTAATAGTAAAACCTAATACAACTCGTGACGACTTTAAAATAAATATAAGAAAAATCAATAACGTTAATAATTTTTGTGTTATTGAAAATTTACTTTTAAAAGAATTATCTAGTATAAGTACATAATGCATGTACGAAATGAAATGACGCACAAGGCCAGGGGCCAGGGCAATAACGAAGTTTCTGACGACTATGCATGGTGGTTAAAAAAATTTTCAAGACAACCATATAAAATCGCACCATCAAAACATTAGTGTTATAGTCATATGATTAAGGTCTGTACCTTGAGATAGTTTAGATTTTGCACAATGTTAAACGATAATATAGTATTTTACATCTTATCTTACCACATTATATATTATTACATATAAAAATAAACACTAGTGCACGGTCAACGAAGTAACTTTTACTACCTATATAAGAAATCATGTGTGCTAGGTGTAACTGAAAAATAAACGAATTTTGAGTTTCTCATGTTGGTTACTACACCACTGATGTTTTGTTGGGATATTATATGGAGTACTTACGATCCCGTGCCGTACTGTCCTCACGACTTCTTAAACAGTTTTTTTTTTCATTGACGTGTATCTATTGTGTTTAACATAATATGTACTACAAAGTACCTACTATCAGATATGTTATGTACGAGATTATAATGAAATCCAATTTACTATGCGCTTGGAATCGAGATGACTTATTTATTATAATATTACGTCATGAACGTGTGGGGCTCGTTCATTCGACACCTTCGGAATAATAATAATAAAAAAAAAAACCAGTTCTCTTGATAGTTGGATACATATTATTTCAATTATTACTACTATTATTGTACACTCTATGAGAGTAATCACTTACACGTACCAAATGGAGTTTTAATTTTATTTTTTTATTATCATTACAAGAGCGCGGCGAAGACGGCTTATCGATGTCATGCAACGAACCGTGTTGCGCGCGAGCTCGTACTTGTTCTGAATTCTGATTTATGAGTGGCGGCTGTACGGAGTATTCGCTAATAAATTTTTCCGGGGCCGATCCACGGCGCGCGTGATGATCGACGGTGTTTCACAAGACAAACTGCACAATTTATTAACAAATTGATCCGTTATACTCCTCCGTCGTATTTGCTATAATATGTATAATGTATATTGTATACAGAGCAATAATCGCTTCGTACGATTTATTTTTTCTATTATCCGTCCTGATTGCAACGAACTGCAATGGGCTGACCGATATAGTATTATTATGACGTTTGAAATCCAACTGATTGCAATTATTGTTTTATTTTTTATCGTATATACCTATTACAAGCGCGAATAGGAGATCAAATCAACGTGGGTTTCAACTTTCAACCCCATCACTTTTTTTTTATTACGAAAAATTGAGATTCAGGGTTTTGTCTATCCTTTATAATGTCATATCGTTCACAATAAATCAAGATTAGTATTTTTAATTTTTATACAGTTTTTTAATGACTTCTAGAAGATGGTAATACAAATGTAAACCACAATCTGTTATCTCCTACGAGAAGAACAAAAAGTGTAAGTAATTACATTGATAATAATTGTTTGAATAGGAACGTATTTAAGAGACTTTTCGGACAAAGCACTTTAAAATATATTTTATTATTAATTAATAATTACAATTTTTCTGTTATATATTACAAAATCATTTCTAGTTAGTAGTTATAAATTATAACGATCTATCAGTATAATTGATATATTTTTCAATACTAATTATCTTTAAATCTCCACTAAATAAGTACCTTATTAGATATAATTTTTTTTAAACGGCACGTGCACAGCCGCAGGACAGTCAGTTAAATTATATACGGTAATGGTAAATTGGGGAGGAGGATATAAAGCTCTCTCCTAAGCCCAACCCAATTTGCACCGATGAGCAAGTTATCTAATAATATAATATGAGGCTACCGTCTAATTAAAGCACCGCGGTATTACAGAACGACAACTATGGAGATTATCCGGCCTCGGTAGTATTCGTGTATAATAATACCATCAACGCGTTGCGAGTTTAGACGAGAGAAAGAGAGAGAGAGAGATAGAGCGATGTCTAAGTCTATAATATATTATAGTGTTTTTAATAGCGTAGTTAATGATAATACATATAACGTGCTTGTGCATGATGATCACAATGCACCCTAGGATATTCAACGATTGACTGAGTAAAATAAATAACATCAATAGCAATTAATAAACGGACTTCTGATATTATTGTTATTTAGAGATCCCTACGCTATTAGATAGTAACTATACACACACATATATATATATAATAAAGTTTATTAGACTTGTTGTTTTTTGTATGCACATTATTAATCGAGTCGAAACGACTTTTTTACTAAAGTGGAATTTTGCTCGCGGGATTTTTCTTTTTAGTTTTGATGTACCTGTGTACCAAACACCAGCTGTATTTTCGCATAAAAAAAAATTTATAAGCACTTATTTAAATA